CCCCCCCCCCGCAGAGCAGAGAGATTGGAAATGAAGGGATTAGAAGAGAGTACAGTAACAGGCACACAATGGGGAATACACCAGCTGTTTGCTGAGTGTGCTCATGGCTGCCAGCACCAGTGCATTGCTTCAATGTGTATTCCCCATTGTGTGCCTGCTTATACTCTTCTAATCACTTCTTCAATCTTTCCATTCTGCAAGGGGGGGGGAACCAACAGGTCAGACACAGGACAATGCGTACTGATTATAATAGCAATCATGTGACTGAGGGACCCTACAAATGTCATAAATGGTCATAAATTGATTGTAAAGTTATTTTTTCAGCACTGTTGTAAGTTTGGTTGCTGAATGAGTGGTCGGTAAGTGAGGAATACCTGTAATTCTAATGAGAAAAATCTGGACAGCAGAAAAACCTGAAGTGATCACTCAGAAGCTTAGTAAAAATCTCACAACAAGAAAGGATACCTACAGGAAGTAGAAAGAGGTCATTATATACAAGTATAAACAAGTAGCCCAGAACTATAGAAGGGCTGTCAGAAAAGGGCAAAATGAGCTGAGGTTGACAAAAGATGCTAAGAACAATAAAAATAGTTCATTTAAATATAGTCAGAATAAAAGGAAAACATTCCATGTAATTGTTTCTCAATGGCAAAATGTTAGTGGGTTACAAAGAAAAGCAGAACTACTCAGAACTACTCAGTTCGCCCACCTTTTCCAACATCAATGCAAGTGTCCCACTAGGCAATTGTGGAAAGCAGATGGGCTGAAATGAAGTTTGAGACTGATAGATTAATGTCTTTGTAGTTTGAATGCCTAAATCTGAAGGTCAAGATGAATTACATCTTAGGTACTGAAGAAACTTGCTGATGGTCTTTCTGAATATTTATATAATATATTTGAAAAATCCTGAGGAATGAAAAAAATTCCAAATGACTGGGGAAGGGAAAAGGTCCTTATTTTTAAAAAATGGAAAGTGAGTTCCAGGGAACAGCAGACTGGGAGTGACACTATTACCTGCAAAGGATCTAAAGCAGATCATAAATAGATTGATTTTAAACAGAGTTTCCTGGTTCCTCATCAAGCCAGAGTCAGGCATTATCAAGTACTAACCAGGCTTGATTCTGCTTAGCTTCCGAGGTCAGACAAGATCAGGTGTTTTCAGGGTAGTATGGCCACAGACGAGTCAGGCATTATGTGGTGTGCCACAGAATTCAGTCCTGGGTCCTGTACTCATTAACATTTTAATTAATAACTCTTATGAAGGAAATGCTTATCAGATTTGTAAATGACACAAAAGTGGGTGGGATAGCTAATCCTCTAGCAATCTTGATAATTTAGAGAAATGAAAGTGAAACTTAATAGAGAAATGCAAAATTCTTCACATAGGAAACATGCAATCCATAGATATAGGAAAGGTTTAATAGTAGCACTTGTGAAAAAGATAATTTAAATTGAAAATTGATGTTTGTATTTATAGTGAGTGAATTCTCTTGAGAAATGTATAGTAGAAACTTTTGCATTCCTAATATACTGTTTCATATTGCTTTATAGATCATAATATCAGTCTGGAATCTATGGATATAACAGTAAATGCTGTGGCAGGAGCTCTTAAAGCTTTCTTTGCAGATCTCCCAGATCCTTTAATTCCTTACTCACTGCATCCAGAATTAGTTGAAGCATCAAGTAAGTGATTTCTTTTTTCTTTTCATGTTATGGATAATCAATTAACTTTTTCTATCTCTTACCTACTATACTCTGTATTCATTTCAATCTGTTTGGTGCCTTTTGAGGATTTCACAGATCCTGGACTTGATTTTTTATGTTTTTCTTTTATTTCCCATTTCATGACTTCTCATATGTGCCTATACAGTTAGATAGCACTCCAGGTAACCCCAGAGAGCTTCAGATGGCTCAGATACAACATCACATATAAACTTTAAGTAACTAACACTGCTAGCCTAAACACCATCTTGCCCTATTCTGTTTTATTATTTGTGTTTTCACCATACTAAACTAAATTAGTTAACTCTGCGTCTTTAAGGGGTGAAATCAAACTTCTCTGCCCACCAATGGAATGGACTTCATTGATAGCATGATTCCACTTCTGTTCTGAGGTCTTCCACAGACCATGCATATCTCCAGAGGATTGTCATTCATGGAGACAAGAGGGGAAATCTTTTGCACAAGTGGCAATTTGCTCACATACATTTATTCAATATGAAGTTCCCTAAAATGTTACTTCAGACTTACTCCTTCAAATGTTTGCCACTCAACAGGCAAGAAATCAGTTTTATTACTGCTGTCTACATTTGAGAAAAACTTAACTACTGGCTAATACTTTAATATAGGTCAACATTCCCTCATAACAGTGTCCAAACACGTGTTGGGTCCCAAAGTAGAAATACTGCGTTGAGCTGCTAATCTATGTGTTTAATATTTGAAATTTTTGTTTTTATGATCTTATTTTTACAGAAATTCTTGATAAGACAGAAAGGCTCTATGAATTAAAAGAAATTGTGAAGAAATTCCATCCAGTGAATTATGACGTATTCAGATATGTAATAACTCATCTCAACAGGTATTTTCTTTACCAAATATCAATTACAAATAAATAATTTTATTAATATTTGTCAGAAAGATTAATCATATGTTCTTGACAAATTTAATCTGTTATGCATGAAGATGCTTGCATGAAACATTCAACTATGTGTAAATCATAAAAATTCTATGAAAGCCTTATCCATATTTCTGTAGCAGTTGGGCGTGACGTTGTTGTCCATTGACGCACAAGCCTCATTAAATGAAATGGTTTAATGAATCTATGGATTCAGGTAGCAGTTAACAGGTTTTTTGAAGGATTGCTTACATTTATATGAATCTCTTCAAATTATCTTTGGAAGCCCTTACTCTTTTACCCACCACCAAGACTGACAGGGTTGATAAGCAGTAGAGATGTGTCCTTCTTAGCAGTAGGACATACTTTCGGAAATTTCTGTTCAAAAGATCTATATCTGTTCCTGTGCTGACTTAAAAATGCTGTAATTTACACCTTATGGCATATTGCTAATACACAGTTAGTAATTGTACTTTATTCTGTTTTATTTAAATGTGATTGATATGATTTTGTGAGTGTTGATGAATTGTACTGGGGTTCTAACTAGTACTGTGCAAGTGGCTTGTGTGGTAGGTACTTTTGCCCTTTCTGCTAATTCA